ATATTCTTTGCATAAAGCTAGTTTGATCTCCAGCAGGGCAGAAACAAGACAAAAATGAAGCAAACAGATAGAAAATAAAATAATATAAAAAAATAAAATAAAAACAACAACAACAAAAAAACCCTCTCCAAACCCTGTTTGTTTTTTAAAATATCTTCTGCCCCAGTGACCTAATGGACAGTTCATGATGATATAACAGAAATAATCCAAAAGACATGAGTAACCTCTCTCAAAATACAAAATTGTTTTAAAGTCTGAATTGAAACAACCCCAAATATAAAGCAGACAACATTTTATACAGTGAGTCATGATCTCAGCTTTAATAGCCACATTCAATTTGGATAATAGGTTGCTTTAATTTTAGAAAACCTACAAAAGCAGATAGTGTGTGTGTGTATGTGTGTGGGGGGTCCCCACAAATACATGGCCCCTAGAATAAAGAGCTGAAGGGGGCAGGAAAGGAATCCAGTTCAACACGCTTAAGTTAGCTCTTGTTGGCTCAAGCTTCTACAGCCAGGCAGTTTACTTTAGACACATTTAAATACAGTGCAAGTTTGGAAAAAAATTTCTCGGTGACAATGATTTCAATCCCATGCTCACAATGAAGGTTAAGGTGTGACTCACTGAAACTCTTTTGCAAAGCACATGTGACCTCTTCCATAAAGTTGGCTTCTGCAGCTTAAGGGCCTAGGTAGGGAACGATCTGGTGTTGTCTTGGTCTTACAGATAGCAGAGGTCACAAAGCTATAAAGGACACGTGACACCTTCCCTAAGTATGTCTCTATTGACTGAGAAGCCATGTTCTCAAGATAAAGGTGTAGGAAGGAAGGGTCTGAGATAAACGTGATAGCCTGGGCATTTCCAGTGTGGCCTGGCCCTACAGTTAGCACAGGTTACCTATTAACTGCATCCACGCCCAGCCTTCTGGGGAGGGGGGGAACAGCTGTACACATCTTTTTCACTAAATAAGCCTGAATGTTCCACATTTCTACTTTCCCTATCACTATCTGTGAGTACCTCATGCCTTCTACAAAACAGAAGTGTATAAATTACTGAAAATGTAAGATTGCTGTTCAAAAGGTATGAAAAGTTGGACTGGCATGTAGCTCAGTGGTAGAGCATATGTCTAGCATACAGTATCAACTCCCAGAATGAACACAATAAATGTTAACGATGACGTTCGCTGCTAAAGAACAAAACTAGTATCAGTGGCTCGGCAACTGCCATGATTCTGTTCATAAGAAAGCTGTGTGCTGCGTTACTGCTCTTTGTAAGAAAGCCATGTGCATGTCATTGTTTGTAAGAGAGCCACGTGCATGTTACAGTCTGTAAGAGAGCCACGCTACGCACTAGTACAAAGAGCCTTGCAGGTGCTGTGGTCAGCCACCGTTGTAGGGCGCCACGTGCTTTCCACGTGGTCAGTGATTCCAGTTTACACGGCACTGGAAGACCTGTCGTTCTCTGAGGACCATCTCCTTGGTAATATCCTGATGCCCACAGTGCTCTTCTGTGGACCTTCATGCTTATAGTTCCAGTTTGCTCTCCCTAGTTTAAGCCTCCAGCCATCACCTTTGTTGAGCCATGCTATAGTGGGTTGTACTTCAGTTAGCATTCAAGCCCCCAGTCAGCGGTAGAAACTGGAAACTACATCACAAGGTGATGGGGACAGAGGAGCATGTGTGAAGTAATCGATGAGAGTCCAAGGGGAACAATAAATATGAGAAAAAGAAATGATTTGGGAAAGAAGATTTGTCCCTTAGTATAAGTTTTACAATTTCTTTTTGTGTACACATAATATATGTTCTGTGACAATGTCGTCATCCAAAATGATATCAAAAAACTCCTGGACTCTACTGTTGTAAAGAATAAAGGATGAAAACACTTACAATGATGTTCTCTGATAAAGTTATGTATATTTCCTAGCTCTCTCTCTCTCTCTCTCTCTGTATGTATGTGTATTTCTACTTCCTGAAGTGGAGATAAAAAAGATAGCAACGCTAAAAGGAATGATGAGGGAGAAAGTGTGAGTAGTCAGCAGAAAGTATGAGTTAGCAGGTAGGAGTGGCTGCTGACTAGAAGAAAGCAGGGGTGTGGGATTTACTAGGCTATACTGATCAAGATGAAATACAGTAGATGACAGATGGAAACTGAGAGGTTAACGAAGTGTTGGAGGAGAGTGGGGAAGAGAATGGTGGATGTGTCCGCTTCAAAACCAGAATGAATCAGGTGCAGTGGCATGTTTGAAATTGAAGTACTAGGAGTCAAAGTCACAAAAGTCAAGGGCAAGCCTTGGCCACATATCAAGACAATCCCAACACAGTGACAAAAATAGAAACAAAAGCCACCCAGGCAACCAAAACCCCTCACTAAGAAGAGGAAATAAATTCTTGTTTTTTTGTTTGCTGTGGTTCAAAGTATCTTCTGAAGACTCAAGACAATGTACCAACTATAAGCCACTATAAAATAAAATTTAAAAATCAAATTACATATTTCCAATATCTAGTGGCATAGAAAAATATGTTGTCATTTCAAAAATAAAGAACGAAAGAATATCAAAGAAATATTGAAACCCAGAAAGGAAAAATGCCAACCATTGTTTTCCCATATTTAGCATCTGAGGCCCATGTTTAGAATAATTTGAGCTCCAATGGCCTTCAGCTTCCCTATCTCTCCACTTCTGCTGCATCCAGCACCTGTAAGCTCTCTCTTGGACTGGTTCCCCTCTGTGCCTATAGCTTTCTGCAGTATCCCGTAATCCTGGCATCTACACCACCCTTGGTTCTCCATCAGAACTTGGTCTTTACCAGCGTTTCACACAGTAGTCTCTCAGAAGCTCATTGTGGGGGTATATAACCTTTCCAGGAATGGCTTGGCCTCAATAGGTTTCTAGATTCTTGGTGCAAGACTCCCTGGTTCCCTCACTCTTACATTTTTCATGCAAACTAATTTCTGCCAGCTTAAAAAGGATCCTGACTCCCTACCTCTGACCCATGGTTGCAGCAGTCTCTCTGTACATTTAAGACTGAGCCTATGCATAAATAAGAACAAGAACATGAACAAGGACAAGAACAGAAACAACAGTTACCCAGGGAATTGGTTTTCAGCATAGAGTCCCTTCAGTTCTCCTGGCAATCTAAGCTCAAGGTTGCTCCTTCCAAATTAACTTTCACTTTCATAGATTGGATCCTTTGACCAATTGTGTCTTGCCCTCTGAGGGAGGGGGCAGCTTCTAATTGTCTCAAGGTAGAGCAAAAGGGTTCTTTTTAATGGTGCTAATCTTTTAGCAAGTAGATGCTTTGTCTACAACAACCTTGTCTGTAATTCCAAACTTCTTATACTCTTTTTTTTTTTTTACCCTAACTACATGTTTTCATGTCTTTCTGTTCTTGTTGCTTTCTCTCATTGCAGACCTTGATAAAAAAGCAACAAGCAGTAACCATGACATGGCCTGCGTGCTAACCTGTCCTGAAATTTCTTCTCCCAAGCAGTCAATTCCTTTTGAATTCAGCTTCTGTCAAGTTTTTATGTCAGAGGCAGAATACAGGCAGACCTTTTACCAGAATCTCACATGAATAATTTCTAGCGAGTTACTCACTAGAGTGCTTCAGAAGCTGCACGAGGTGCACCCGCTGCCTGGATTTCTCTTAGCATTCTGCTTCCAAACTCACATCAGAGTTACCTAGTAACCACTGCTTAGGGCATTCCAGGGCTTTTCTAATCCATACATCCCAAAGTCTTCTGTATTTCTCACACAAACCAACTCCAAAGACCTATGAGTGACATAACTAAGTTCATCGCAGCAATCTTAGCATCAGTTTTCTGCATTACTTGCTTTGTTGTGTTGCTGTCACAAAATACTTGATGAAACAGCTTAGAGAGGGAAGGCTGTACTCTGGCCCACAGTTTGAGAGTACGGTCCACCATGGTTGAGAGGGTGTGTGGTGTGAGCATGAAGCAGCTGGGTACGTAGTGTCTGCAGTCAGGGAGAGGCACGTGGCTTTCTTCTTAGTTCAACAAATCATTGTTTTTCTTATGCTTGTGACTTTAGTATGTAAAAATGTTGTGCTCCTCAGTTCATGCATACTGTTCTAGATAGCGTGTTCATAAATTTTGTTGAATATGTTTATATAAAGTTCTAATTATTTCTGCATGTTTCTTTTTATAATTCTTTTACAAGTGTGTGCATGTGCGTGTTGCACATGTGACAGTTAAAGGGTTAAAGGCAATCTTGTAGCTCCCTCCTGTAGCACTAGAGCTCCTCTGCACTGGTTCCTGGCTTTATGAAGCAACCGTATTAAATCTGTGACTCTTTTCTTCTGAAGGAATGAAGTACAATTAGTGGGATTCTCTTCTTGAATAAAGTGTGACAGAACTACAGATATAGCTATTTATATAATCTGCTCATCTCTCTGTCTCTATTTCTTTCTCTCCATGTATGTATATATATATGTATGTATTTATGTTGTGATAATCTAATTTATTAACAAATTTTAATAATACTTGCATCTTGGGAGTCTATCTTCCTCAGGCTTACTTATCTGAAAGTGCTGGGGGAAATCCGGCAACATTATCCACCAAACATGGTATTCATTGGCTACACACAATTTTGCACATTTGTGAATACATGGAAGGGACAGAATGAAAAGGTAAAGCAGAAACTCAGTGTCTGAGCTTGGGGAGAAGAATGGAAAAGAAAGAGTGAAGTACCTTTTTAGGTATGATTTTAACATGACCAAATGAGAGTAGGAAAAGAGCCTCAGGGTCAGTTAAGATGAATGTGTAAGGCCAGTGAGCAATGAGAAATTAATGTGAAAGAAATGATTAGGGGATACTCTGTTTCAAGTTCAGTTTACTGGGCTTCCAGAAGACATGCGATTTATAGAAAGGACATGTGACTTCCTTTTATATAATCTAAATAATGTAACACTATCCCTTTTCCTTTCTTCAATAACTTCCTTTCAGTATGTATGATTTCCTGTATTTGAGGCCTCCCCACTGGCTTATAGAATTGGAATATAACTGTTGATCTTAGTTCGATGTCTCTGTGAGATGCATTCTGCTATCCACACGATATTTCTCATCTCTTGCTCCTTCAACTTTACATAGGCATAAAACACACCATAGTGGAATTGTCTGTTGAACGCCAGCACATTCATTTGCACCTAGGGAAGGAAAAAGATGGCGTGGACCATCAGCTTGTCTAGAACATACCGCATTTATGACGTAATAAACAAGCTAGAGATGGCTTTGCCTTATATAGTGCTTATTTCCTCTTCAGTAGCAATAGTGAGAGCAATTGTCAGAGCAGAGGCAACCTAACACAGCTAAAGGAAGTGTCACATGGGCAAATGTAGGAGGTGTCAACGTAAAAAGTAAGTTTATGGACTTCACAAGGTTGGCGTCACATCCCAGCACTACCGGCAGAAAGGTGTGTTTGCGGATATATGTTCAACTTTGTAGTATTATTTATCTGTCTTTCAGCTGGTGGGCTAGCCTCATTTAGAGAAGGCATTCCTTCTTGGCAACAAGTTCAGAAAAGGTAAAGAGGTATTTAAGGCCTTGTACCCTGCGAGCGCTGGGACAGTGTTCTGCCCAGACTGGCACTGTGAGCTTTTTATGGGTGCTCTGAGGTTACAGTCCAGGCAACGGCGTTGCTTTGCTCTACAGAACCAAGGAAGCAAAAGAAAATTAAACGTGGGGCGGTCCTTTCACCTGGCTCTGTTTTTGACTTTAGGATGGAAGGAGAGCAGGAGAGGCGCGCAGGCTACCACACGGCTCTGCAAACTTTAAGCGACCTCGTCAGAAGTGCAAGCTGCCCCTGTAGACACTTGTTTTTCTTGCAAAAAGCAGCTTCATTGACTGCCCTTTTGTGGTGCACTTTTTAAGGATCCCTAACATGTTGGAATGTGCTTTGTTTCCACTTCTTTCTATGGAAGCAGGCTGTTGAGAAAAGCCTAACGTCTAGGAACAAAAAAAGTTCCCAAGCTGCAAGCTGTGACATCCCGACTCTGATGTCCGGATCTTTATTGATTTTAATCATGTAGTCACAGGTGGGCCAATGGTTTCAGCCAGCAGAATAGACCTGAAACATTCTCTAGATTTGTAGAAACAAACCTGAATAAGAAATTTAAAAAAAAAAAAATTCATTAAATCGTCCAGTAGCTCAAGGGTCTGAGAATGATTGATTAAGTAATCTGCATTTTTTAGGGAAAGAGAATAATCTAGGCTCTGGGTTTCCATATGAATACTTCCCATGTGGGTATAGGTTTCATTTTAACTTTGTGAAGACACTTCCTGCAGGTGACATGGACCAGAGAGTGAGAGGAACAAAAATTAGTATCTGTGAGGACACCCTGGCCTTCCGTTTCTAGTTACTACCTCGAGAAGCCACTTCTACAGCTCCCACTAGAGATACACTCTTCACAGGACAATCTGTGTGAAGCTATATGTACTTCGGGGCTCTTGCACTCTAAGGAAGTCACAATATGAGTGTTTACGGAAAAGCGTCGGTTGCCTTGATAAAATATGAGAAGAAATCCCAAGTGAGAAAACATTTAAAGCCCATGATAACAACAGTAAGAAGAGCACATAAACGATATTTTCACTTCTGCCATACCTCTCGCTCATAGAAAACATCCTCCAGTGTCTTCCCCCCACTGCCACCTACAGCCTCAAACAAAGGCTTGTAAACCTTAAAACAAACACAAAAGTTAAAATGTAAAGGGTTTTTCAGTTTTTACAAGTGCATATATTTTTTCAGCAATATAGATATTTGTGTGTGTGAATGTGTGTGTGTGTGAGAGAGAGAAAGTGTGTGTGTGTGTGTGTGTGTGTGTGTGTGTGTGAGTGTGTGTGTTTGTGTGTGTGAGTGTGTGTGTGTGTGTGTGTGTGTGTGTGTGTGTATGTGTGCTTTTGTAACTGAGGAAAAGTTGTAACTGAAGGCCTGAAAGTTTTTGGTCAGGACTTTGACTTCTTGACGCTTCCCCACCCCCTCAAAACATCCGAGTAACCGATCAGGTGGTTGAAATTCTGACTTTCTCGCTTGTGGGCTTATTTGGGGTTACATGCCCAGGGCAAACACTGTATTTCCTCAACGTACATTGTTATTTTCACACATCAACACAGTGGACTCTGAACTCTTCCAGTGTGCAGCATAAGTTTTCGAGTTCCTTGACAGGACACTGATACTCCTCATGAAATTTCACGTGCAGAAGAAGGGGAAACTGAGAAACTCCGGTTTCAATATTATGCTAAAGGGTTGCCCTCAGCCGCAGATGGTATATGAGGAGCGTGGCTCCTGGAAGGGTCTGACACGCACGAGCAAACAACAGTGTCATTCTTAGGCCGAGAGGGAACTTCAGGGTGCACACGTGACTTCCCACAAGTCTGAGGACAGAGTCCGAGTGCAAAGAGCCCTGGGTGCGGAGCTCGAGCCTGTCTCAGAGAGCTGAACGTGGGATGAGGAAAGCTACTGACCGGTTCTGTTCCTCTCCCAGCTTCTGCCATTACACAAAGGTGGGGAAAACCCGCACATACCCCATATTCTCTTGTAGTCCCTACAGATATTCTGTCCTGACTTGGTTTCCCCAGTGGGTACTTGAAAGGAGCCTTGGGGTCAGGCTCTTTTATGTAATTTTGACATGAACTCCCACTTCCAGGAGCTTTCCCTGGCCTCTTGGGGAATTTGCTTTAAAAGGTACTTCAAGAAGTGCTCAAATAACCACTCCTTGGAGATTTAAACAAGGGCTCTCTTGGCAGGACTCTTAAAAGACACCAGCTTGGACTGGAAATTGGAAGTGTTTCTCTGGGAGGCGTAATTACTGCAAGAGGCACCACTTGCCATATGGATGTAGCTTTGGATGAGGAGTCCAAGTGGATGTGTGTGAGTTTCTAAAGGGCCTATGCTGGAGGACTGCGAGGCGCACGGGGTGCTGTTGAAATCACTTACTCCGTAATTATCTGCTACTCTCTTCATCTGTTCAAAGTCTTCAGCTTGAGCTAACAAACGCAGCCCCTCAGGATAGAGCTTGCCGCAGGTGGGGAAGAGGGTCTCCCTGTCTTCTTTGCTCAACTCAGTGCCAAATGAGTTCAGAGTGATGATTAAAGCACGTCTGTCAGCTTCAAACTGAATGCAAGAGACATAAAGGCAGCAAATCTGTAATCTTTTACACCCCAAGCTACATGCAGAATTGCATTTCTGGAGTGATCTACTCTTCATGTCTAATTACAAAGTAGGCATGTGTTACTAATGTCTCTTTAGTCTCCTCTTGAAAGGGAGAAATTTGTTTGCTGGGGGAAGCTGTGCAGCCCTGTGACAGCCTATGGCTCTTGAAACCCACCAAAGCTCTGTTTCCCTGTGACCTTGCAATGAGTTACTCACAGATTGCTTTCACGTATGTCACCAGAATCATAAATGTATTTTCCACAAAGGTGGGAATATTGCCACTAGAGTGCAGCCATGAAGGGAAGAAGGCAATGTAAGCAAAAATGTCTGCTGGGTGTTTGAACGAGAGAGCAGCACCTCTACAGGTGTCTAACCCTTCTAGTTGTTCCCGTCACCATTCCTGGTCTTCCTGTTATTGTCTGTGACGGTGAGCATCCAATCTAAGGCCTCAAGCTTGACACAGGCTCTACCACCGAGCCACATCCCCAGCCCTATTCACTTTATACAATTAAACTTTATACTATCTGCCATCTGAATTTTTATGGCTTGGATTTTTTTAATGACCTGCCATCTCTGATTCTGTAGCTAAGAATCATGTGGCTTGGGGTGATTTATCTTCCTTGCAAGGCCTGATTCCTTATGACCCTTAAGTAGGTCAATGTGTGCTCACAACCTGTGCTGAACGCGGAATAGGAGGCCACTGTGGTCCTATTGCACCAGTCCCGTTTCCTGTAACCGTGCTGTCTTTCTAGAGATTTCTTTCCTATTCCTTTGTTACCTGTGCTTCTGCTGTTGTTCAGTTTTCCCTATATCCACATTAATTATTACATCTTCCTCTCTTCTTTTTATACCTATATATGTATATATATTTATATATACTTATATAAATATAAGTATATATACATATATTTACCTTTTGACCCACTGAATCCATTTTGGGGTCCCATACACAAATGGTTGTGGGGTCATCCACCCGGGCATGGGGAATCTACCAATGGCCACACCACATGCCCACAGAAAAATAAGTCTTCTCCAGCAGCCACATCAAACCGCCAATAGTTCATCAGCTAGGGGTTGGGCCTCAGGTCCTCTTCCTTACTCCATCCTAAGATGTGAGACTGAGATGCTCTTCTGTTGGTCTTGAACCACACTGCTCTGAGTTCATGTGTGCCACAGCTATGTAATGTCCAGTGGAAATAATTTCTCAGGCTCCTCCCACCTACTGGCTCTTGAAGTCTTTCCTCCTGGGCCCCTCTGCACTCCCTCAAGGCTGCTCTTCCTCTTCTTTTGGTAACTGGTCTTTAGGCTCAGGAACTCTTCCCCAGTTCCTTGAAGTACTTTATACTTACTATGTTATTTTGAAATCTGCCCATGAAGTTTTCTACTTCCTACTCTTAACTATTGAAAGAATCATGTCTTTTTAAATTTTATTTCTTGCTCTTGTTACATAGGAGTGTACTAACTACCTACTGAATCTAACAGGACAGTCTGTTTGATTTCCTCACTTTTGAATTTTCTAAAATGATGCTACTTGAAGTCATGGCTCAGTAGCTTTGACATCAATGGGAATGTTACTAAAAATTCAGAATCTCAAGGCACAGTCTAAATAAAGTTAAATCAACTGACCCACACTCTGCCTTCTAACAGGATTCCACAGCTGTTCACAGGCACAAGAAAGCTCTGTGCTGTCCTCTGTTACTCTCCACACTTATTTGCTAGTGACAAAGCCAGGCTTGCAACGGCTCTAATGGAGCAGTTTTGTTAGAACAGGTGTTTCTTATCATCAGGAGAGTCAGAATTCCCACTGGTCCTTTTGATTACTCTCATGGAAATTATGGGTAGGTCAGAAGCAAGGTAGCCTTATTCGGAAGCAAAAGCAGTTACATTCTGGCTTTTGCATATAACCAGTCTTATAAATCATGTTAGAACTTCCGGGGAGGAGAGAAGAAATGCAAGTGGGATTGTTCATGGCAATAAGAATCCTTGAAATAAACAACATGCAAGGAGTTATCCCAGATTTTCTTTCTAGTTGTAAGATGTTAGAATTTTAGGAAGGGAAATATGACAGGGCAGGCAGCATTGCAAGCATCAAAATAACAGAGGCTGTGCCAGAGGAGGCTGCGGCAGGAGGGAGCACGCAGGATTTGGAGGATGGTCACAGCTTCAACTTAGGGAAGCCACTGGAAAACTGGATACACAGGTATAGGGCGAGAAATCAGGAAGCACTTCCAGTGCCAAGTTAAGAAGAGAAGACTGACTGAACATAATGGATTATTCAAATAATCTGTTCATTTCCTATGCCTTGACTTTGTTATTAGTTTTTTTTTTTTCTCCTTAACTTGTAAGCACTCATTCCGTACCTCTGTGTGATGAAATACTCCTGCACTGAGGGGGAAGCAGTGTTTCCATTAAGAGCTTTCTTTTTTTCATAACAAGTACTTCTATCTCCTGCCTACTTGGATACGTTTTTTTTTTTTTAATTCCTTCTATACTTTAACATTCTTTATGCCTTTAGTTTGAAAGCTCTTGGCATGGTTGTGAGGCTTCACAGCGAAAAAGAGTATAATTTAAAAAGTTTAAAAAAATTGTTCTTTGATTACCCCTAAGCACCGTCTGACACAGAAAGAGATGATAAGAGAATCTCCTTTTTCTCCTCCCTCTTTCTTCTTTCTCTTTCTTTATGTCCCCTTCTATCCCTCATTTTCTCCTCCTCCCTTGCAGGGTTGGGCATTAAACCTGGGGACTTGTGCATTCTAGACAGACACTCTCCCCCTTAGACATCTGCAAACCTTTAATGCTCTCTTCTACCACAGCAAGTCTTTTGACATCTCCCATCAATGGACATTCAAAAACATGTATGTGGAATATTATAAGTTGTGGTGCTCTGTGGCTGCAGAAATAAAAAGAGGCTGAGTATGTTATTACATATGACACCTACTAGTCCCATCTGAGCACATTTTTAGAGAAGTTGTAAGTGTTTGCCACGTGGAGCTGATGTTCCTATGTAAGTGTATAAAGACAGCTTTATGTGATTTGCATTCTTGAAGTAGGAAAGGAAACACAGAACCCTAGACGTATAGCAGATCAAATTCTTCCACTCATAACCAAAACTCTATTGAGAATTACAAAGTCAAAATTCTTACATAGTCTTATTCTTACAGGTTATACAATAGGATCTTGCCTATGAATTAGTATGTTTCTTATGTACAAAATAACTGTGGGTGGTGAAGTATAAGTATGTAAGAATTGAACTCAGGCTGTCCAGGCTCAAATCCTGACACGGCTCCTTACTAACAGTATGTTGTTAGGCAAGTTTCTAGCCTTCTGTGAGCCTCAGTGGCCTCTTCTGAAAAATAGGATCTTGTTTAATTTTGAAGTGCAAGTGAGTTCATTTATACAAAACACTTAAAATGGAATCTAGCACGTAGTAAATATTAGGTTTTGAATTTTCTCTCCTTTTCTTTTAAGTGCTTGTGGTGGTTTAAATAAAAATACCTCCCATAGGCTATTGAAGGCTTAGTCAGCAGGGAGTGGCGCTATGTGAAATAGATTAGAGGTGTGGTCCTGTGGAGGAAGTGTGTCACTAAGGCTGGGCTTCGAGGTTTTACAAGCCCAGCCCAGAGTCTGTCTCTCCTTTTGTCTTTCTGTCTCTCTCTGCCTACAGATCAGGTTTTCAGCTACTGCTCTCACATCTCTCACATGCTGCCATGATTCCTGCCAGACTAAACCTCTGAAACTACAAGCAAGCCCCCAATTTAAATGCTTTTTCTAAAACTTGCCTTGGTCCTGGTGTCTCTTCACAGCAGTAGAATACTGACCAAGACAGTGCTGAGGACTAAACTCAGGGCCTCACCCATTTTAGGTAAGAGTGCTACTATTTATTAATCTGTATCCTCAGGCCAGCATTGTGTGGTAAGAGTCACTGCATATTTTTTTTAAATAAGGTTATGAGTTTTATGAAAACTTTTATTTTATGTATTTCTGGGCATAAGATAGACATACCATTACTAAATCATTAGAAGTATGCCAACTGGAAAGTGCAGTTTGGAACTACGGATGAAACGGTGAGCTAGTTAAATCTGTGAGAAGAAAGAGAACCACTACCTAAGATTACCACGTTCTTCACTATGTAACTAGCATGTGCAAAAGAGACAAGCTCATCTGTGACCTGTGTCATAAATGTTATTTATTTGTTAAATTCCCACTTCATAATATATAAGAGCAAAACATAGTTTTAGACTTTTCCAGCCAGTGGTGAGATTTTATTTCAAGGACTGCTTGGCTTTACTTTAAACACTTCAACAAGGGATAACAAAGGTAACTTTAACTCTAAAGTTATAATGACTGGGTATTTTGAGAATTAATTTTTTCAAACAGTTTCAAATATTAAAATATATGCAAATGCTACCTGTATTTTTTTCTTTTTGAATGAAGGATAATGCTTGGTAAATTTTTCTTAAAATCAGAAGTTATTTATTTAGAAAATATGAATATTCCATAGATAAAACTTAGTTTCAGAGGGAAAAATAAGGATTTAGAAAACATGAAAGTTGTATTCTTTTCATTTTTTAAGAGGATTAGAAAGCCACTGAAATCTATGTGTCAAATATAATCTGAGATGAACACCAACCTTTCTTGATGGTCACCCCAATCTCTCATGCATTTAGAGGTCAACCTTCTGCCAAGAGGACCCCTGAGCATGGGTGGGGTCTCTGGTGATAGAGAGAAAATTTAAAAGGATATCACATCAACTCCAGGGAAGACACTGATGTGGTGCCCCACACATAATCGAATTCTGGCTGATTGTGCATTTTGAGTAACATCCTTCCCGCGGCAGCGTGGGATGGTAGAGGGCTGCTCAGCTAGCTGTTGCCTAAGGTTCTTATAAGGATGGTGCCACTATGAACAGAGGCACTCCAGTGCCAACAGACTCCAGTGCCAACCTGCAGGGCTCTCCTGCTGCTCAGTGTTCCCCTTTTGGAGGGAATTTGAGTGGATATTACAAGAATATTTATAATCTACCAGTTTTTAGTAATGCAAAATGTTTAATGAATTATAATTTTCTTTCTACATATCCATTAACACGAATCATAGCCATACATTCGCCGTCATTGTATTTTGTTGGTTTGTGCATTGCTAGAGATGGAACCCAAGGCTCCGTATGTGTTAGGTGAGGGTTCATCTGCTGAGCTGCATTTCTTGAGACAACAAATGACATTCCTTATTGAACTTCAGATCACTTCTAAGATAAAGAAATACAGCCCAATCAAAGCAAGGACAAGTATGTAACTCATTATTTGGCAAAGACAGAGCCAAAGGCTCCTTCTTACCTCAAGAATGGGACACATAATTTCTGCTGTGACATCACCGTGATCCTTACAGAATTTGTAGAATGCCTCAAGGTAAGACTTAGAAAGAAGAAAGATTTTAAAATGAAATGAGTAATTTTTTCTTTTGGAAACATCTAGGTCATCTTTTTATAGCTTACAAAATGCTTTAATGGAAACTGAATTGTTACTCTATATTCTGTAGTCAATTTAATAGAGATTGAATATGCCTGTGGCCCAGACTGTAAAAGAACTCCATAAAAGAACAGAATTTCACTTACCACAACATCTAATTACTCTACACGCATTTTTTGCACCTTTCTTGGATTGTTTTTTATAGTTAATCCCAGCTATTCTAACAAGAGCGCCACGTCCTTTTCTGGGCTCTGCAAATGATGCACTAGCTCGTGTGTTAAATCTCCTAAGACACACTGGCTTTGACTGTGGGAATACACTGGCAAAGCGGAGCCCAGGTTGTAAGGTTACACTTCCTGTGTTCGCATTCCAGCCCTATCGCTTAACGGATTCAGCACTAAGTGATTTCTGCCAAAAGAAGCCTCATCCCTCTGCATCACTGAGGTTTATATGAGGAACAGTACTTGCACAAATCTTATAGCTTTGCTACTAGAGTGAGTAAATTAAGGCCCAGGAAGTGCTTAGAGCACTGTGTTCTGTTAGTTATGTCTCAGGAATGCCTCCTTACAGCGTGTGTCTCTTCATAAAACCAACAAAAAAGCAGTGTATAGTAAAATACGACTGGGGGAACCATGTATTTGAGCTCAATACACTATTTACATACCACAGTAGTGTATGTTAATTTACTCATGACAGGGAATACTACCAGATTTTGCTTGGCCTGTAGTACAGTCTACTCTGCTGTTGGAGCCATCATCCAGACGGGCAGATCACACAGTGTTTCGTATGACCTAGTGTGTACCCACTGGTAATGCTGACACGGGTTTCAAATTGCATAGACAGGTTAATTATAAGAGTAAGTGTTCCGTAACAAGATCTACAGCAGAGATGGACACTCTAAAACAGTACTAAAACATACTCTGTATGCCGGTTACCTTTGATATGGGTTTTCCCACACATTTATCTGCCCATTTACCATCATCTGGCTAACACTCTTTGCATTCAAGGCATTGGACAAAGAGCGAAGGATAAAAAGAATGCGGTATGCTATTTATTCTTAAAAATCTCGCCGCAGAGGAGATGCTGACATGCATGCACACAACCAAAACCAAATTAAAGCTTTATTCCAAAGATGCATCACTTAGTGATTGCAGAAGTTGGCCAATAGGCAAAGCAGCTTTGCTAATAAAGAACTCCAATTCTGTTACATTGTACAATCTAGAAAGATACATTTGGGGAAAGCATTACCTTGTATAGTTTATTGCGCAGCAATTCAATATTCAGTTCATCCAGAGTATTTTCAGACATACAATCTTGAAAGAATGGAGCTGAGAGCAAAAGGATATAAATCACAAGCCATACTACAAACTTGCTGTTCATTAAGCATTTACTACGTGTGAACCTACACAGGCCTCTCTGTACCAAACCGTGGATACACGTTGGCTTATTTAATTTCACAGCATTTGGGAATAGTCACTTAAGTCTTGAAATTCCTTCCTTATATTTTATCACAACCTTATAGCAATACTTACCATCTGCAAACTTGTTTATACCAGGCACAGTGTTTTACTAAAACTATGTTTAAATTCATTTTCAAAACAGTTATAATACAATATGAAGTGAGGAAATTGGGGATAAGCCAAATTACCCAAGTCATTGTATTGGGACCCGGCAGAGCTTTGCCTCATATCCATTCATTCCAGACACCCTCGTCTCCACCAGGCTGCACGACCTTAGCCTCAGATGCCTAAAGGTGACCTGGCATCGCCTTGTCTTTTTAAAATATGTAAAGGGTAAGTATTTTGGCTCAGAGTGTGGGCTCATGGGGATGGCATGTTCTTAGCATGCAAAATACCCTATGTTTAACCATGCTCCCCAAATTAATTATTTTATTTTGTTTTCTATTTTTATATGTATGGGTATCTTGCCTGTATGTATGTCTGTATATCATGTCTATGTCCAGTGCCTGCAAAGACTGGAAGAAGTTGTTGGCTCCCCTAAAATGGAGTTACAGATAATTTAAGGCACCATGCAAGTGCTAGGAATTGAACCCAGGTCCTCCAGAATAGATGCCAATGCTAACATCTCTCCAGCCCTGGTACCCATGATCAACAATGATTTGCTACCATCTAGATTTCATGACAGTAATATATATATATATATATTGCTTGACAACTTTCCCTTTAACATTTTGGATAATGACAGTAATCAGGGCTAAATCATAATGACATTAAGTCATTTCATAATTGATCTAGATAATTTCATAGAGTAGCCCAAGAAACTGATAGCAATGACATTTTTAAATTTCTTAAAGCAAAATACTCTCTAGATATTACCTGAATTAGATAAGAGTTTAATATGAAAGAATAAAAAAACTAATTGTCTAAAACACAGAAAGGAAATCCATAGTTTGAGAACTTACAAATTCCTCATTTAATTTCTATGACCTGGTAGAAAGCAGAGATTTGGAAGTTGGGATACAAGCCCCAGCCTCTCCTCTACTCTGAATGGCTGTCAAGGACAAAGACCAGACAGATTGCCTCACTTGTCATCATCTGAGAAATGAGAAAGCAAGATTAGGCGATTTTCCATATGCGTGTATATGTTTATTTCTGTAGATATTCCTATATGCATGGGTGCCTCGAATGGGGGTGCATTCAAGGAGAAGCCAGAGGACACTTTTGGTGCCATTCCTTAAGAGCTACCCACCTTGTTTTTGTGATAGGGTCTCTCTCATTGACTTGAAGCTTGCCAAGTAGGCTGGGCTAGTGGTCCAGCAAGTCCTATGGATCTCCACCTCCCCAGTGCTGGGATTAGAGGACTGTTTGCACAGCACATTGGTTTTTTACAAGGGGTTTGAGGCTCAAACTCAAGTCCTTATGCCTGCAAGAACAGTGCTTTACAAACTGAGCCATCTCCCCAGGCCTAGATCATTCTTTTGGTGGTGTTTGTTTTCATGAATCCGGGTCTCTCTGCATAATCAGACTGATCTCAGACTTCCCAACTTCCTGCCTCAGCCTTCCTCATACATATGTATGTGTCCCTATGTCCAGCTCAGACATCCTGTGCACAGCATGAGTCGTATAGTATAAAACTACATTATAAAAACGTTGCATGGTGAAAGTACAGTTTCTTATGACTCTGCTAACACGCACAGGCCACTTCACTAGCAAGTATTCATACCTAGCGGTGTTTCAACCAGCACAGCCTTGAAGAGATCTGAGGCAGTCTCGGCAATGTTGACAGCTTCCATCTCCGTAAAACGGCCCAGGGGGTGACATTTGGCTAGAACTTCTTTCACAGATTTCTTTTGCAGTGCCCCATTCATCAGTAGAATTACGTTGTCTATCATATGGCTGCATCTGTAAAGGCACTCAAGCATTAGGAGAACAGTTACATGGGTGGTGGGAAGATCTTCAGCTGTGCCCTGAAGAAGTCCACAAGTTACGCCTCCTGGGAAATGACATTCAGGCTGAAATTTGAAGAATGAGTGGACTTTTTTTTTCCATAAAGGGCTAAGACATGGGAAGGAGAGTTTTCTAAGCAGAAGGAAGAACATTTGAAAAAGGATAATAGACCCTCCTCTCTCTCTCTCTCTCTCTCTCTCTCTCTCTCTCTCTATGTATTATATCTCTATCTCTATTCACATATCTATATATCTATCTATACGTCTATATCTATCTACTATCTACTACTATCTATCTATCTTGGTTGGACCACTGGGGTAGGCTCAAGGTTGACCACAGTCATGATAGATAAAGGGAGGAGCTTGGCTGTTAAGGACAATGGTGGATGCTTTTCCACTACAGGGAGTTTATGCTTTAGGTAACTCTGTTCACAGGTGGTGTCAGAGCCAGCATCAGTACCTAGGCAGGGTGGCTGTCAACTCATGGACTACATCAACACCCTGTTTTTAGCACCTTTCCAAACATGTATCTCTGATATTGGCATCTGGGAAAATCATGAAAGCACTTAAATCATGTTACAGCCAATCAATTTCAAAACTACTTTAAGTATATGTCTAATATCCAATTATAAGTGAGTATACATCATGTGTGTCTCTCTGCTTCTGGGATACCTCACTCAGGATGATCTCTTCTAGTTCCCACCATTTGCCTGCAAATGTCATGATTCCATTGTGTAATGTACCACAATTTCTGCATCCATTCCTCTGTTGAGGGGCACCTGGGTTGTTTCCAGTTTCTGGCTATTAGAAATAAAGCTGTTACAAACATGGTTGAGCAAATGTCCTTGTTGTATACATGAACATATTTTGGATATGAGTGGATATGCGACATATAATACAGGAAAACATACTAAAATCTGTCCACCTAAAGAAGCTAAACAGAAAGGAGGATCCTGCGTAAGATGTTCAATCCTCATTCAGAAAGGCAAACGGGATAGATATCAGAAGAGGGAGAAAACAGAGAACATGACAGGAGACTACCACTCTACCCATCTGGGTATTGAAGCAAATACTGAGATTCATAGCCAAACTTTGGGCAGAGTGCAGGGAATCTTATGAAAGAAAGGGGAGATAGAAAGACCTGGAGGGGACAAGAGCTCCACAAGGAGATCGACAGAACCAAAAAATCTGGGCCCCAGGGGTCGTTTCTGAGACTGATACTCCAACCAAGAAACATTCATGAGATAAGCTAGAACCACGGCACAGATGTTACCCATGGCAGCTCAGGGTCCAAGTGGGTTCCCTAGTAAGTGGATCAGGGGCTATCTCTGACATGAACTCAGTGGCTGACTCTTTGATCACCTCCCGCTTAGAGGGGAGCAGCCTTACTAGGCCACATAGACCTGTCCTCTGCAGCCAGTCCTGGTGAGATCTGATAGACTAGGGTCAGATGGAAGGGGAGGAGAACCTCCCCTATCAGTGGACTAGGGGAGGGACATGGGAGGAGAAGAGGGAGGGCATGAGGGAGGGGGCTACAGCTGGGATACAAAGTGAATAAATTGTAATAAATAAATAAATAAAATTTAAAAACTACTTTAACTAGTTAAAAGTACATTTTCAGGCAAAGGACCACAAGTTTGAGGCCAAGTTGAGCTGTATAATGAGACCCTATTTCAAAAATTATAAGTAAATATTCGCCACTGTAGAGTTTGTAGTGTGTGGCAAGCATTTCACATTTTTTCATTCAAGCCTCCTACAGTCTACTGCAGAGATTTCACAGCTTGGGGCACCAGGAATGAGGCTGGTCATCCTGCTCCATCCTGGCAGCAGCAACTTGTTGGCAGTAATGTCTACCTGCCTCTCTGTGAAACCTTTTTTCCATTCCAAGTACCCACTGCTTCCTCAGGTTGTGTAAAATGCCTACGAAGCACCTCCTGGGGTAAATAAACAACCACGTTCAAAGCCAAGGCTTTCAATTCCTTTATCCGGTTGAGATAAAACAACCAGCTGAAGCCAGACAGTACTTCCAGCTTTTCCCTTCTGTTTCAGATTTATCCTCTCCTCTTGGTCTTTAACTTGTTTAAGAATCTTGAAAATACCTAAAATGCATTTTTTTTGTACTATAATAGCCAGATTCTGAGCTGACAGTTGCTGAAAGTCAGCTCAAAATCATTATTTACTGAGTTAGTGAAAACTTTCTTTTATGGTTAAATTTTTTAATACTTCAGTGTCATTAACAGCAACTGTGAAATGGCTGCCATTTGCTAAGCACTGTGGATGTGAAACAGAAAAAGACGAATGCTTCCTGGAAGGACCGGGAAGAGATTGTTACTGGGTGCTTGATGTGAAACTCCCAGAGAATTAATAAAAATGTTATGTGGGAAAAAGAAAGATGAATGCTTTCTAAGGAAGACACAGATCAGTGATGATCTCCAGTGTCTACAAAGCCGATAATTAGAGGCGTACTGATCAGGTGTGAAACAGGACGCCTCAGTGCTAGAATCTGTCTTACCAGGATGCTCAGATTATGGGTGGCTGCGAGGAAGACCTGAACTGCTATTTCCATGCATCCTATCACGGCTGAGTGGTAACATAATTTTTTATCTTTAGTGTTGACCTTGATCTCCTGGCTGAGGTAGCACATGCCAGGTCTCTCCAAAGTAAACTTGTTCTATCCAATCTTTCCATGTCATATGTTTTTAATGTGTCTATACCGCTAAGAGGTGGCAATGATGATTATCCCCTTTAGCACGGGCTATCTGCAACAGTTACAGGAACTTTGCCACAGGGGAGACTTCTTCTTCATCCTTTATTCATTCATTAATTTAATTATTTGTTTGCACCAATATTAACACAGGGCATTTATTTTATCCCTGGGATGACAGTTCTAGGCTACCTCCTTTATTTTGTTGCTTAGCTTGTTGCAGGGTTGGCCACCGTGAGCTCTTTCAGTTGGCGTGACGTTCCTTCGGCGAGCCCGTGTCGCTGTGCTTTGCTTCCTAGCACTTCCTCCATTTCTGGCACTATAAGATAGACTAGGCTAATTCTGTACATTTCCTGTCCCAGCCCTAGAATCAGCTGTTTCTCTGAGGAAACATTTTAGTCCTATTTTGAGCAAATACTGCTAGAGCCCATGTCTGGGTACTGGTTGGGTTTGCTAAGAGGATACTATTTCTGTTAGCCCCTCTCAGCTGAGAGAAGGAAATACCTGTGGGTGTTCTAACCAAAGGCTTCATCCTACTGTAGTTCTCATTCCCGTTCAATGATGTCTTCCCTGGGCATGGCTTTCTTCTGTTGGAGAAGCAGAGTTTTAGCAACTGTGTAGTTCTAGTGTCTCGTAAGTGTCAAATGGATGAAAGTATGTTCTTTGCATCTCACAAACACAAATAATTTTGTTATGGGTTTATAATATAAAATAAAATGGATGCATGTTTTTAATTTGTATATTGCTGTTCTGGAGCCTGAACCAGGGTCCAGAGATGCCACGGCACTCTGTCACTGAGCTATGCTCTCAGCTATGATTTTGAACTCTCCTAATTCTTTTTGGTGCATGATATCGTTCCTTTCCCACAGGCACCACAATCGCATGAACTACAGCAGTACTCAACCCACAAGCCTCTGCTCTGTTTCTCTTCTCTTTCCAATCTCTCCACTGCTTTTACTCTTAAAGTGACAGTGACCTCCTTCTGCTTTCGATTCCTTGGATATAGGTGTTTTTGAAATTGATCTTTGGTTACCCTTTCAGCAAGAGATAACTTAAAGTGTATATTTTCAGGCATGGAAATATAGCCCACTGCTGAATGCTTGTACCAAGGTCTGGAACACAATCCACAGCACTGAAGGGGAAAAAAAGGGACATGTTTTAGAGGAGAGACTAGGGCAGAGCTCCGAAGGATGTTCTTGGGGGCAGAAATGAGATTTAGTAGGATAGACTGAGAAAGGGCAGGAGTGCTAAAAGGAAGCCTGTCATCACATTGAGTGGGCTGAGGAGGGCAGCTTCAAAGGCTGGGTGAGGGGAGGGCTTAGCAACCCACATGGCTTTGATGGCACAAGGGAGCAGGGTGCAAGATTGAAGGGGGTGTGTAAGCAAGTGTGCAAGCAGAGGGAAGTAGAACATTCTTTTAAACAAATTTGGCACCACAGGACAAGAAGGGGCAGAGCTGGTAGGCCCACTAGGCAAATTAAAGTAAACCATGCATATCAAAGTGGCTTGAAAATCAAGATTGTCACATTAGAAGGAGCCAAGGCTTGGGAATAGGTAAACATGACTCTAAGGCCAGCTCTGCCACTTAAAAGCCAGTTCACAAGCCCTCCATTTCCCAGCTTAAGAACAGAAATATTTGTTCAACTTTGAATGGTTAGCCTCAGGATTAGTAATAATAAGAAAACACAGGAGAATGCCTTGCACAAAAGAAGGCCTTGTACTCTGAGAGGAGATTTTCCTGCAAATTGGTCTCTGTAGGTGTAGAAAGTGAAAACCGCATCTTTGATGCAAAAAGTTTACAATGTTTATACCTTTTTATTAAGCTTGAGGTTTCCTCATATGTGGTTTTACATTTACTTCCAAGTAAAAGAGCCTTTTCAAACCTCCCCCTTTCTCTTGGAGAATGGGTGGTGGAGTTAAGAGGCTCAGACGTGTAGAAGGCTGAGACATTCACAAGACCACGAGCCATGGGAGGTGAGGTAATTCAGGGCTTTTACCTGCGTCTTAACACTCGGACTCACAGTGGAAGGAGGAAAGCAGCTCCCCAAAGTTATCCTTTGGCATCTACACACATGCTAACAGTAAAGAAAATTTAAATTCCAAAAGGACATGAGCCAGTTACGCTTTGAGATATTAGCTTCAAGTCCTTGATTTATAAGTATTTTGAAAAACCAGTTACCACTTTTATTGTGTGTGTGTGTGTGTGTGTATGTGTGTGTGATTTCAACTCTACATGTAAGGCAGTGGTCATT